TTTTTTTTAAGATTTTATTTATTTATTTGAGAGAGAGAGAATGAGAGACAGAGAGCATGAGAGGGAGGAGGGTCAGAGGGAGAAGCAGACTCCCTGCCAAGCAGGGAGCCCGATGCGGGACTCGATCCCGGGACTCCAGGATCATGACCTGAGCCAAAGGCAGTCGCTTAACCAACCGAGCCACCCAGGCGCCCTAAGGGTGCTTATTTTAAAACAGTTCGAAGAATCTTTTACATAAAACTTTTTCATTTGGATTTTCTCAGAGCATTTACCCACACCAGTCCTTTGATAGATATTTTGTGGTAGCCTCTTCAAAGTAAGGATTTTTTGCAAACTAGATAATCTTACAAAGTCATTTTTTTTCAGTTGCATTTAATGACTCAGCTACATTGTGAAAAGGTTACAATTACGGATACATCAGTAATAGACTCTCACGGCAAATCTCTGAAGGTAAGAGGCCTCAGTGAAGCAGGCAGCAGGAAATCAGGCTCAAAAGCCTAACTATATGGGTGGTCCAGTGGTGGGAAGGAACCAGAAGCAGGGCCAAATAGTGTAGAAACACATGGTGGCTAAAAGAATGAGGCAAGTACAATTACTATCATAGACATTTCAAAGGAAATCAATGTGAAATGCAAGGATAAGATTCATCTATAAAATGAAGAAAAATGATAATTGATAAAATTTCTAGGCTGAAAAGGGAAAATTGTGATAAAAATGACTGCAACAGGATACCTGACTTGTGAGAAAACACACATGTCAATATTAAGGATATTTCTTAAAGGCACCCCCCCAAAATATAAGACCAGAGTAAATATGAGAAGTCATGTCTAGAGATAAATATCTGGAAGACATGGAATGAAATGCAAAACTAAAAAAAGACCTGAAGGTATATGAATCTGGTGAGGAAACAGAGGAATGACTCCAGAGGACTAAAGAAAAAGTGCTATTTATTTACACTTCAGGTAAAAATAATTCAAGGGAGCAAATAAAAATGTCACAGAAATCAGCAAAAAGGTTATTTTTAACAGATGAAAAACCTAGATTAAGGAAAATAGGATCAAAAATAAGATGAGGGCACAAGCAAAGTTAAATACACTAACATTTTACCCTAGCTACTTTCTAAAGGTGGCCCATAACTTGGCTGGGAGCTGTTTAGAAATCAATGTTAGTAAGAAAAGGCTTTTTGTTACACAATTTACAATGGCCTAGAAACAGAAGTAAAATAGGTATTCAGCTGGTATACCACACCTATCCTGAGACTAGAGAGAGATTCTCACATGCTCAGAGAGGACCCTTAATGAACAACTTCTTCAAAAACATCCTTCTTAAAAAATCAATAGTGCACATTTCATTAGGCTGATACTTACAACATCTCTCAAAAAAAAAAGCTGACTAAAAAGGCAGAGCTTGATAAAAGAGAATCAACGTAAGGTGCAGGGGAAGATGAGAAGATGGTGTCAAAACTGCTGCTTAAGTGTACACACACACACACTTTGCATATATTCTCAGGGGTCATCTGACTGCCTCCCTACCCTGAAGCCAACTTATTTATGTCACAATAAGAACCTCTATCTGAATTAGGGAAATGAATGGCCATTTTCTTAATATACTTTATCTCAACAGAACTTTTTCTAAGTGCTGAGCAGTATCAAATGTGAAAATATGGACTTTGGAAGCAAAGCTACTCTAAGTTGCTCATTAAGTGAATAATCACCATCACATCCTCAATAGTCAACTGAGCTAGGGGTGAAGCCGACATACACTTAAGAAATCTAAGAACCCTGGAGCACCTGGCCGACTCAGTTGGTTAAACGTCTGACTCTTGATTTCGGCTAAGGTCATGATCTCAGGTTCATGAGATCAAACCCCGCATCTGGCTCCGTGCTCAGCATGGGGTCTGCTTGAGATTCTCTCTCCCCCTCTCTTTCTGCCCCTCCCCCTGCTTGGGCCCACTCTTCTTCACTCTCTCGCATGTGTGTGAAATAGATAAATCTTAAAAAAAAAAGGAAAGAACTCTAAGAACCCTAATGAAAGCCCATGACAAGAAGACTTTTTACAACCACAAGGAGTGATAAGTCAAGGTAATAGCCAGGAGAGCAAAAATTTTCTACAGAAATCAATTTAGGGTTCTATTCAAATATCTAAATGAATGAACAACAAGTTTAGCTTTTGGCAGGTGTTGTTACCAAATACCCACCTGAAGCATCAAAACACACCAGCACCGACAACAAAACAAATTATCTATGGAAGACCTATTTAATCCAAATTCTATTAACTCTAGCCAACTTGTTTAATATTTATCCTACTTTAAAATTAAGAATGATTAAATAAAGTCATATAAAGGGGAATAGATGGTCTTATCAAACTGATGCCTTAAGTTTTGAAGTAGCTACCATGAAGAAATTTGTGGGAGCAATTTGATAACAGGGCCAGTTGTCTAATAAAGCTCTTTTTGAGTCCTGACAATAAAACTGTTATCATCTGTATATAAGAAAAGACCTATCTTTTCCTTCTCTATTCGAGGAGGAAGACTGAAAACAAAACAAAATAAAACAATGAGGAAGAAGCGGTCTGACAGTCCAGGAGATAGCCATTGGCTACAAACGGTGCCACCATTCTATCCAACTCCTACTCTGCCATTTCTACCACCTACCTAGAACAGGAACAGCTGACTCTTTGGGTTGGATCCACAAAATCCCAAGTAGCAGGATTATTAGCAGGCTCTTCTTCAAGAGTTGGAGTTGACATTTGGCTCCTCCTAAAAAAGGTTAAAAATGTGACTTCTGTAAACATGAGATAATATTCATACCTCGATGGGGGCGGGGCGGGGGGCTATGGGGTTAAAAGACCTGAATACATTTCACATAGTAATGTTATCTAGCTAATAGATAGCTCAGAGCAATCCAAGGGGTTGGGGTGTGGGCGGGGAGAACCAACTTGTTCTATGCACTAGAAGAAGCAAGATTCAAAACATTTCTGTTTAAGTTGAATGTACTTTTTAACATGGGTGACAGAGCAATTAAAACACTATCTGGCACTATTGGTTGTTGCTTTAAAAAGCCACCTAAATTTTGTAGAAATAACTTAAATTTTTAAAATTATCTTTTCACAGCATCTGTGAATTATATGCCCTGAGACTGTTTAAAACTCTTAAACTCTTACCACTCCTATATTCATTAGCATTTAAGCAGCACTCTATGCTTGTGATGTGAACTAAAGACAAGGAAAAAATCACCTCGTACTTGTCACTAGTAACTGGTAGCACAAAGCAGAGTCTATTACTACACAGTGACAGTCAGGACACGGGGCAGCATTTCTGTACTGCCGACTCCGACTCAGCTACAGCTGCTACTACCAAGTGCTCCGGGGACTGCTCTAGAGGGACTTCTGCTCTAGAGGGACTTCTCTGGCTCTCCACCCTCCTTCGCCCTCCTGGCTGTCTCACTGCCCTGTTCTGTGCTGCTGATTCAAGGGGCTGCTAGAGCTGGTGGAGGTGACAGGTTAGTGGTGATAAAAATCAAAGACAGTAAATGAGAGGAAAAGAAAAAGAAAATGTTAACTTGGAAATTATCCAGGCTTGTAGATAGAGGTGAAAACATCTGTACCAATTATTCTAGAGCAAAGGATCATTTTTAAGGTACCTTTTTAATTCTAGAACATGACATATAATCTCCCACTGCAATTATTTTAGATTTTATGTACTGTATCTTCTGCAGGAGCCTACTCTAGAACCAATTCACTGAGAAACAAATATATAGTATGAATTTCCTAAAAGCTAGATCCACATGACAGGTTTTATATCTGCATGTAAAACTCTTAAGCAGTAGTGACTGAAGAAACATTTAACTGATTTGTAAAAGGAGTGGACTTTTTAGCAGTTTTTGGCAAGAGTGTCCAAATTTATTCTGTTCTAGAGAACGAAAACTCCTTTGTTTACTGCCTCACTCCAGAAAGGGGACATCTCAGTTATATCAAGTATGTGAAAATATGCTGAATATGTTTACATAAATCTTGGTAAGTGGAAGAGTATTTATTGACTATTTGTTATCATTCATGTAATTAAAATAATCACCACCAGCAGTCTCTTCTTAGAATCAATTCTTCCTCTTTTCCGAAAATATGTTAAGGAAGGCAGGGAGAAGAGCAATAGGAGAGGTAGGGAGAACGGAAGCAAAGTCAGGTAGGGGAAGAAAAGAACATGGCTTCCCCAAATCAACCAACAGAAGCACAGCAGGTGGTAAATACCCCTCTGTCATCAGTTCAGTTCAGAACTGTATTGTCATTTAAAAACAGACAGCCAATGTCAAAGAAAATGTGACAAAGGTCATCTCCCGTTGTAAAAAGAAAACATTCATAAATTGGTATACGAAGGAAAACCAAACCCACTGACTACTGTACTAAGCTATCTGTGCTAAAAAATGTCAATCTCAAGATGTGCCAATCTTGAGATAATCAGGAACGTCAAAATTTCCTAGATAATCAAGTCAAGTAAACATCTTTAACATCCTTGCGTTGAATTTGGCACTATTATGTTAAAAAAGATGATCTACTAATCCAGTGACCCCTCAGGTTTGGTCCCACAATGGTACAATGTGATTGACACTCTTCACATAGTAACCAAAGAGATGGTGTTACTAAACCATGATCCAGACGTAATGCAAAAGTCATACTTGGACTGGGTTCTGTTGAGGATGCATTCCTTCCAGACTCGATGGACCATATGATTGTGGAGTTTTGGAGGAATCTTCCCCGATCTCTTTGGACTGTGCATAGTTATCATCCCCCCGTCTTGGGAGCCCAGGTGACTGACCGCACTCTGAGTACCTCCACTCTCCCCTGGAAAAGACAATTTGGGAATGTAAAAATTCTGAAAAGGTCTACTAGTACGCACAGACTGCAAGCTTACTTAACAGAAATGTTTTGAGTTTTGAAACTTATATTCTTCATGTAGCTTTGCCCCTACCCCCTGGCAATAACACTATCTATAGCTCTGAGCATAATTTGTGTGTACTGGCACTTTGTATGGTTCTTTGTGTTCTCCCTAAAATAGTTCATCACATCAACACTCACATACTCACACAACCCAAGGGCATACCCATACAGAGGCATTCGACTCTACAGATATTGGAGATAACTTACTTGTAAAGGCTCATACATCACAGTATTAAACATGTAAATATGAATAGATTGTTTTAAATTTTTAAATCCACAGTGCAATAAATAACTTTCAAGGCAGAACAAGACAGCAGAGGGAGCTTTCTGCTCATTTAGCTTAAAAGCTGTGTAACAGTTGCACATAGCGCCCTGGGTCGGAGAAAGAACTTAATGGCACAAAGCTTTTAACAAGGTCAAATTTCAAATTTGTGTGTGGAACTGTCTGTCCTTATGCCTGACACTATTTATGAAATATCTTAGTGCTAAAACACTGAAAGAGGTTATCTCGACATTCTGTATCAGAGGATTATTCACTAGTTTCTAATAACTCCACTTAGCTTTTCCAACTATGGTTGGTATGTACTCCCATTTCTTTCTATTAGGTCCACTATGATTACTGGTAATACTGGTTTTTGGTTATATTATGAGTATTTTACTATTTCTATCTCATACAAGACAAATACTGAAGTCAATTTCCAGTATTAAATTCTGATTCAATTACTTTCATCTCTTTGACTTCATAAATACATTGTGGGTTTTATTCTCAATAGAACTATGATACAAAACATCTTGACCAAAATAATCAATTTTAAGCACTCTGGAAATCTCCACCCTCATCGGAAAAACAAACAAACAACCTTATACCACAAATTAATAGTCCTGATACGCTGGAACACAACCACTATATGAGTTGAATGGTTAGGCTTAGCTCTATTTAAAAATAAATAAATAAATAAACAAAAAAAACAAAAACCAGTATCAAAATGCTTACATTCTCAGGAACTGAAGATTGCTTGTTCCCTATAAAAGTATTATTATATTACAAATTAGATAAATTAAAGGAGACAAAAAATTTGGTCTTTCATTGCTTTCATCTTAAAAGTTCCCTGACTTGGTTTGTGGTACAAAATAATTCGTTTCAATTTTACAATGGATTTTCAAATGCTTATTATAAAAGTAGGACAAGTAGTGAAACAAACAGAAGTAAAACATATAGCCCTTTGCTCCCAAACACCTTACAATTTAGCTAAAGAGATCATACGTCCATGGTATCATACAGGATTAATTTATGACCAAAAAGTGAGAGGGGTGAGGAAAATAAGGCATGATCTTTTCGGATTAAAGTTGGGTTAATGCTTTTCAGTAGCTTTTAATGATTTAACTAAAATGTGGATGATACCTCATAGGGAATTAGACCAGACCTATACCCTATGCTGTCAAACATATATTGAATACTGTTTCTCAAAATTATCTCCAAAGACCGCAAGCGGAGGCACCTATCCACATGAGGCATGAATGATTTCACCAAAACCAGTTGGCCCTCCTAGGTCCTCTGATAATCTAGGAGATTCTTGGCCATTTTAGGAGAAAAAGGAACCCATTTTGTCCTGTATCTAGGAAAACATAGCAATGCTCAATGTTAGTCAACTGCAGAATGACAAGGCTGACCAGGATGGTCTCTGATAGAGCATTAAGAGTCCTAAGCTATAATTCATTGTATCATGATGTGAAAATTAAGACAAATTCATTTTACAACAAAGATTCCAGTTGCTTTTATTTAGTTAGTTTGTTTTAGAGACTGAGGAGGCATCAGGGGATTTATTTACCCAGGGCTTAGCACAATGACATACATAGAGTCAGAGAGGAAGTAATTTGAATACCCAGAGTTAGGAAGTCCACACTGAAAACCACAGTAAACAAAACCTGGTGTTTCTGAACTGTGAAATTTAGAGTTCCTAACTGATCAGATGCCAGGACATCATGCATACAGCAGGCTTTCAATTTTAAGCTGAATACAAATATCCCTAAGTACCAGGCAAAACAAAAACAGATAAACAAAAACTGATGACAACTTATGTAGTGCAGTTATTTAAAATCCAAACTTCAATAGGAAATGTCATCAAAATTTGTCAAAATACTGATAATTCTAGTCTCTATATCAATATATCTTCTCTATGATGATTATTAAAAAGCCTGTAAAATATTTTTTCTTTTTCCTTTTTTTTTTTTTTTGTTTTCTTTTTTAATAAAAATTGAGCAAATCCTTTCACAGGGGATCTTCCAAATTCTCTGCTCCACCATATTAGAGTTGGATTTCCCTTTTCTTTTACTGTCTTAGCAACTGCATGGCTCCTAAAGACAGAGGCTGCCGGCTGCCCATTTCTATGCCTTCCACAGCGTATCTGAGTAACTCCTTCTAGATAACATAATCGTGTTTTGAGTACTGCTTCAAATTGCTTATGCCACCATTTATATACTGCTTTGCTGTCTGTCTACAGAGCGCTGTCAAGTACTTTACCTAGTATGTGTAACAGCTCTGTCAAGTACATAGTATTTAACAGAGAAGGAATGGAGGCTCAGGCCAAGCTTGAGAATTTCATAAGGCCAACTCACCTAGTAAAAGCTATATAGCCAGATTTTTAAATTAGGTGCACTCAATCACAATGTCTATACTTGCCCCCAATATATTGCTTAACCATGAACATTTATTGAATACCCTCCACATGCCAAGCACCATGCTAGAAACTCTGAAATACTGTCTTATCTAATCTCATGAAAATAGCCACGTAGTGTGTATCATGCTGGATAGTCTGTTTTCAGTTCGGCAGCCAAGACCTTATCTACTCTGATGCTTTTGCTAACATGGTCCACATTGAAAAGCCTATATATAATCTCACTTCAGCTCAAGTCTGATGAATATCCTTTCCTTAGTGACTAGATTTCCAATTAAAACAAAGTCAACTACAACAACCAAAAAGTTAATACAGAATATATACTACTCTAAAGATGGCAAAATGTTCCCAATTTAAACACTTTCTGAATTTTTTCATGAAGGAAAATTTTTAAAGTTTCATATATAACTAATACTTATCAGTAATGTAGACAGATTACTGACAGAACAAGGCGTTTTACTGAGAGCTTCTGAATGCTAGAGTACCTTTATAATGTAACGAGAAAAGAATTATCCCAGACTTGTCCCTGGCTGGCAAGAGCCAACTGGGCAAATGCTTCAGCCATTTTCTGATCTAGTGTTCTCCATTTGTTTAAGAAAAAAAAAAAAAGAGCAGCCTACACCTTGTCCCCTGATTATGTATGTCTGTGCGTGTGCATGTGCATACATGTGTGTAAAGGGACAGATGTATGTACAGAACTTAAGAGAAACAACTACACTGCCTAACTGGAATAAACAGATGAACAGGGCACAATTAAAATTCTGAAGCACATTGATTCTGTTTGTTGAAAATTTTCCTCCTCTGCTTTGCAAAATTCCCACGTCACTCTACCTCCACCTCTTGCATAAGGCATTTCTCAATGTGAGTTTACTCATCTGTTCCATGGCAAGGGAGCTACATGGTTTTCTGTGATCTCCTCTACCTGGAGGAGTACATTTCTGGATTGTACTCACCTATGACAGCCTGTTCTGGAGAGGTGGGAGGGGTAAGAGGCATCCCACAGTTACTTGGGTCCTTCACACTACCAAGGCCCTGCTGCCCCACTGTAATATGGCCTCCAGCACCAGCAACACTCTGAGGAACTGGGATGTCATTCTGAGAGATCAAAACAAATGCCGAAGGATAAACCATCCGAACACCACCTGTAAGGAAAAAGAACAAGGAGTGAACCAAGCCTGAGAAAAGGGTCACACCAGGCTGCCAACTTTATCATTCTAGTGGTCAGAGTCAAAGCTCAATGATGAAAATGAGGTGCTCGTTAGGTACTGCCAAAAGTGATGTGCTCCATTCCTTCCTAAGTTAATAGCTGTTTAAACATGTGCTCCAACATTATGATAATAGCATTTGGAATACAGGGACCCCTGGCGCTTCAGGCAAGATAACTACTCGGCATATACCACTGTACCAAGAGAATTAAAAAAAAGATGGGAAAATTATGGAGATTATTTTTGATGAATCTCAGTGATTATCTTTTTAAATTAAGAAGGATGAAGAAGATCGAATAAAGTTCTTCAGGCAAAATATTTTCTCTTACCAACAATTACTTCGACTGCCACAGGGAAATCATCATTATATCCCAACTCCTCGTCTTCTTTCAATTCTTCTTTCTTTTTCAGCACCATTGGGTAGAAATACTGCCATTCCTCGATCAACTTACGGGTGGCTGGGTCAGACATCTTGTATGCTTGGCCTGTGAGCGTGCCATTTAAGCCATAAGGACTCACCAGTACTAAGGCAGGGAGGAGAACCGTATGTTACAGATCAGAGTAATAACTCCTACTTCAGTGTAATGCTACATACATGGTCATTTAGGCTAAAGCCCAGCCTCACTTACTAGATATCGCCCTTTATTTCTTGACTCCTTTTAAAGTCTTATTTTTTAAAGTTCCTCATTTTAGTACCTCTTACCTATACGCCTCTCAACACATGTCAATTTTTTAAGGAAATCAAATGGGGGAGGTAAAAAAAAATTACCAGACAGCTGTAGCAACACACAATATATAAACTATTTACAAAAGCATCTACACACCTGTTGGATAAGAATTTATACAATGCAAACACTGAATCTTTTATAACAAAAGAAAACCATTTAATACATATACCCCAAAACCTGCCTAGGACTGGAACACTTGAACAGGGTTTCTGAAACTTCCTAAATATCTGCTGTCATTTAAAAAATAACATATAAATAAAACTTGTAATAGCAAAGGTCTTGATGTACCAAGTGTGAAACATGTAATTTCAATTACAACTGTTTTAAAGGTCTGTTAACGAAACAACTCTAAATAAAACTTTATTATACTCCAAGTAAAGGTCTCAAAGTCCCTCTATCTTTCTCTTTCAATGTTTGACCTGATGTTATTTTCACTGAGCTAGCCACAAAAATGTAGTTAACATGATGCTGCATATAACCCAGCCACTTTGTAACCTTGGGGTGAGGTTTACCTTCCAAACAATACTTTTCTGGAAATAAACTTTTTCTTAATCCTAATTTCTAAAAAATTTCAGCATAATCATTAAATGAGATGTTCTTTCTTTGGATGGCTTTATTTTTTTTTAACAGCTGGATGATACATTACATCATTCAAGACAGTGATAGCTGTAGACATCACATATTTCTTGGTACCTTTCTGCTGTTCCTCACTGATCCAAATAGGATAAAAATAGTGATTCCAACCAACATATTTAATCAAGGGCAATTTTTCTGTATTAATACTTCTAGGAAATTCCCACATCAATATGGTTAATTATGTTCACTATAATTATTTATAGGCCAACACCTGCCCTAAGAATGTCCCTCTGCCACACCAATCATAAGAAATAAGCAGGATAACATCCCACAAAAGTCTTCTATGATTCGAGGCATTAGCAACAAACCAGTAAGACCTAAAATAAGTGGTTTATGGAAACCTGATATTGCTAATATTATCTTTCCCAACTTAGGTTAGTTACCTCTCCTCGTGACTAGGAATTCCTTCTGCTCTTATCATAAATAAATGCTTTTATTTTCAGTGATAAAGTCTAGAATGAAGTTAGATGGTCCTCAGAACCTTCACAGTTAACAAAACACAGTATTAAATAATTCTGGTAATCCATAATATGCAAATACTGTACAACTCTTAAGTGTACAGTTTGGGAACTGGGTTTTGAATTTTATAGTTCACACAGCAAATACCAAAAACTACAGAATAATAAAGTACATAGTTTAAAATGTATTACAAAGAGAGGCGGTAAAAAAAAAAAAAATAGGTAACAATTAGGAGAGAGTTAAATGAGGATTCAATGTCCTTTTCTACCTTAAAAAAAAAAAGGCTCAAGTATCTTTTAGGGCAAGGAACAGATGTTTTCATCAAATTAAATCAGAATCATTTGTAGGAAACCAAAAAGCAATCATAAGTAATACGCAGGCTAAACATTCATGACAGGCTATTATGTCAATAAAAATATATTAGTCAAATCTGTTAAAATATCAGTGTTTTTTTAAAATTACATTGTGATGTACTAGGACCACTTCAACCAGGCATCTCTAGTAATAAATTAGATTGAACCAGAAGCGATTTTTCCAGATGGTTCAATCTAATATTTTTACATTTAAACATTATAACATTTAAAAAGTTATTCATAGAAACTCTGAATTCCAAAAACAAAACTAAGGATTTAGAATTCATCATTAGAAAAAGGGGACATGGAGTTATTTTGGTAAAATCTAGGTGATTAGCTGAGAATTAATGAAAATATACACATTAAGTTAAATTACAACCAAATACCTACAATGTAGTCTCTAATTAAAAGAAACAATAAAGATATTAATATCACTGAAGAAACTAAACAACTCTAGAAGTAGGATTCTGGTTGAAATTTCAAAAACAGTAATTTTCTGTAAGTCATTATGTGCTTGAAACCATGGAACAAACAAAACAATGAAAACCTTTAATTTTTAAGAGATGTCAATTACTCATAGTATTCTATTTTTCAAATACTTACTGATCTTCTTTTGTTCTGAAGGCAATTCTCTACATTTTATTCCTTAGTACAACTTCACCTAAGACCATGTTGTAAATGTGATAAGCTCTAAGCTTTCAGCAAAATACTAGCAAGCTTTCATTATGAAATGGTAGTCTTTCCTTTCTTCTTCAGAAATTGACCATTATGCTCAGCTTTAAAATGTCCATTTAAGATAATATCTCATTCTGCAAACCTTACTGGGCAAGGTGGCTATCCACTTGGCGGAGGAGAGGTAGACGGCAGGACATTGCCATTTACTTACCTTGAAATGGTGCAGGTGAAGACTGAGCCATGTGTATATGCTCTTCATTGATCAAATAAATTGGCTGGTGTTGGGCAATCTCCACACTTGTGCATACATTACTTTCCCCATGAAGAAAGAATGTGAATGCACAGGACAAATGCTCACTAAAAAAGAAACAATGAGAAACTCAACTCTACATTTTGGTAGGAAATGAGTGCTAGGCACAGGAATTATATATGGGATACAGCTTTACTTTATCAATCACCCAGCAAAGCTTGCCTCTGATGGTATTAATAGCATAAACTTCCAACTGATTTGATCAAATAATATAACAATAACTTGCTGACAAACTAAATTAAAGATACTAGATAGTTATGCCGCACTGTGAAATTTAGAAAGCTATTGTGCAGATTGCCTCCGGTTTCATTTGCATAAAGTCTCCTATGCTGACTATAAACACTCCTAGGACAAAAAAAGAATCATAACATTTTTCTACCTTCTCATGCACTAGTATCTGAAATGGCGTTTAATGGATTTGGGGGACAAAGATTAAATAGTTTTGCTTATGTTTGGTATGACATAACAGTAACATCAAATTTATAAGCTTACAACACTAAACATGGTTAAAATTGTTCATCTAAAAATAGCAATTAAGGACACAGTTGTATATAAGTTCCCAATATACAACTGCTAAGGTAATACAAGTCTCTAAATGGGCTGTTAATATTAAATTTTTACAATTTACTTCTGATCACAAAATTTTATTAAAGCATTCCACTTCTCCATTTTCCACACAGTTAACTAAAATTGGTAAAAATGATGTGTCTTGGAGAAAAATAATTTCAAAATTACTACAGAAGCACATTCTTTCAAAGTTGTTAACTTTGGCCCTACGCCAGTGATAATATCTCCATTTCTCAAGACAGCTCATAAAAAATACTTGCCTGATGAACCAAAATCACTGTAGGCCAGGCAACTACCATTTAAAAAAATCATCTCTAAGACATGCTTCTTCTCAAAATTTCTCTAAAATATTATAAATTGCACTTTGAGTACTACTAAAAACATTAAATTTTGCTTAGATATAAAATTATAATGGTTTAAGGAAAAAGTGAACTAAAAATGATAAAACTTTCACTCTATCACACAGGGAAGCATCTATATTCTTCCTTGACAAATATGTTGAGATAATCTGAGAAAATGTTGTGTTTTACTAGAATATGAGGTTTCAATGATAGAAATACCTATCTTGATACTTAGCACAACAGAGTAAACAAGATAGTAACTAAAATTTTTTAAGAATTTTGAAAAATTTAAACATCCCCTTGACACCATACTTCTAAGTTTTAAGTTCACAGGGTGGAAATGACACCTACAATTTAAATGTATACAGGTATAAGACAGTATCAACTATAAAAATGCATGGTCCTTTATTTATTAGAAACGTATCAACCTCAACACACAACATAGGGATGATAAGCGAACCAAAGTTCTCACATAAGAGAACCAAAATATAGATTTGCTGATTACATATTGGTTAATTTTCCATCTATGAACTTCAGTGGAGGGTTTGAGCTGACTTACCCCTATCATGTCTATTGTCCTGTGTAGTCAATAGCATATTTATAAGAAAACTGGTTAGAGTTACAGGTATTGAGTGTAACACAGAGTATCTATTCCACTGATTCCCAACTGTGCATGAGAAGAAACGCAACCAACATTTATCTATCAATTAGTAAATGCAAGGAAGGTGTAAGGGGCCTAAAGTGATAAATAAAACATCATCCTTGCCCTCAAGGAGCATATGTATAAGCTAACAAAAGACTGATATGAATGCATATCAATAAAATAAAGCCAGACACTAATACAGAAATAGAAATAAAAACAAAATACCATAGGAAGGCTAAGATGTACTGATTTTTTCAAATTGGAAGATCCAAGTGCTTCAGGAAAACAGAAACAAATGAAAATAGGATTTCAGTAGTAGAGAGAAAGGAAAAAGTAAGAGAGAGGGCATGAGGCTAGGGCAGATGTTGTTAAGAACAGCATGTAGTTTGGAAATTCCAAAAGGGGGAAAGATGTGACATGATGGGTCCAAAAGAGTTTCAAAAAGAAGTCAGAGGTCACACCCTGAGACAAGTGCTAAGTTACTTCACCTTTCTGATCATAGTTTCCTCATATGTAAAATCAACTGTGAGCACAAATTGCTGGGCCCTCATACTTTCTGATTCAGGAGGCCCAGCATGGGCCCCAAGAATCTGCATTTGTTACTGCTGCTGTTACTCCCAGCCCAAGGACCATACTTTGGGAACCACTAAACTTGATGGTATTTATATTCCTTTCCAGCTATACAATTCTGTTTTTTTCTAAGATTATGTGACACAGGAGGGCAGGGATGACAATGACTTTAGAAAGTACAATTCCCCTTTGACCTAGCAACACCACTGCTAAGACTTTGTCCCATAGATAAAACTATTATACAGTTATTGACTACAGCATTGTTTGTAATAGTTAAATACCGAAAACAGCAAAAATGTCCATCAGTAAAGAACTGGCTAACTAAACTATGTTTTATGATTCATCCCTATAAAGTAATACTGTGCAACCACTTAAAAGAAAATGATCACACTGACATGCAGAAACCTCCAACATAAAGTCATAAATTTGAGGAAAAAAAACAAGGTACAAAACCAGTGTGAATAATATACTCCCACTTGTATAAAATGGGAAGGGGGAGAAATATATGCACACACAATTTGCTTACACTGGCATAAAATTTCTCTGGAAGGATACACTTTAAAAACCTAATAATCCTATTTGCCTTTGGGGAATGACACGGCATGACTGGGGGAGAAAGAGAATTCACAATTCATATCCTTTTATGCTTTTGAATGTGCGGCCGTATGTCACACAGAGAGTAATGGAGGCAAGATCTGAAGGAAGCCCCTGACTCCAATCCTTGTGCAGTGTGCTTGTTGGCCCAACTACAGGCGTGCACTAGAAGAATCCATGGTGTTTCATCTTGTCATACTTGGCTCTTAGTTGAAGCCTGCTGAGATCATCTTTGATTCTGATTCTGTTATCCAACGTACTGGCTATTTGATCAGCAAGCCATCAATATCTTTATCTATGTCATCGCCAAAAATGGTGAAAAAGACTGCACTGAGAATAGAATCCTATGTCATCTTATCAGATAGCTCCCAAATTACAAATTCACTAGGGTGCTGCCACCCATTCACTATTTCCTGTCTACAAAGGAAAATCTGAAAGATTATGTCAAATCCCTTGATAAAATGCAGATACATAACAAGTGTCATATTTCTCTGATCTAGACACCTGCCTAAAAGTAAAATTCAGGTAGTCTGATACAAAACCCTCCTCATTTTACAGATAAGGAAACAGGGCTAAAAAGTCTGGCTTGCCAATGAGGCACAAATGGAATTTGACTTGAAATTTAATGTTCTTTGTTCTAACTAGGTTATCTATAAATGGGGGGTATTAACTTATATCCCTACCAACCTTTACATTGGTAAAAGGAGTCAGATAATGTGAATGAACACTGAAAACAAGGGACTCTACAAAACAATTACAGATACATTATGTTAGTGTTATTATTAAGAGTTAGGAGATAAAACTTATTACAAGCTCCATACCTGTACTTGCTTCTTCGCACCCATCACCTACTTTTACCCTAACCATTACTCACTCAATTTCATCTTTTTCATACACTCTCATCACGTGAAAACTGAAAAGGGCTGATCAAGCTCAACGCCTTTCTAATTCACGGAGAAGACTGTGCCCAAAGTCACACTAGTTTAGAGCACAGGTGGATGAGTTCATTCCCTACTTCTTAACATGGTGTTCACAGTACATTCATGACATTCTACCTTCAATCAATGCTACACTCACCCCCGCAGAATATATTCACTCATCAGTGTGATCGCATATTACACCCACCCCTGCATCATTTATACTAACCCCCTAATGCTGTGGACCACAAGGTACTAACACATGAACACAGAACCAGCAACACTGCTAACTTCAGTCAAACTAAACTTGGAGCCTCACCCTGTTCTCTTAGGGCACACCTCTTGACAAGTATTCCACCACCTTCTCAACTCCATTTATTCTCCACTCTTTATTCAGTAAAATCAGGTCTGATTCAGGCAATTCTTTAACCTCTTTTATACCTTAAATACGTCTGCAGTCACACTTCTCTCACCCTCTCCCAGAGTCCTGGAGGACTACATATTTCCTTTTCTAGGTAAAGGTACCCCCATACTCAAATTCTTTCCCATTCACGAACAGTCTATTTCTTCTTCTTTACTTGCTCCAGGTTCCTCAGCCATTAGAGACCTTCTCTGGACCATGTTACTCTTTTAGGGGTACTGCCTTATTTTACCCCGCCTGTTCACTAATATCAAATAATCAACATGTAAGGAAAATCGTTAGTGTAATAATAGTATTTATAGTCACACCAATAAATATCTATGAAAAAACAACTTTTGTGCTATAAAAGAAATCAGGTACTAGGAAAATAAGGGGGATGCTATTTTAGAAAGGGATGGGTCAGAGAAGAGCTTCTCTTAAGAAAAGGGGGAGCGCTTAAACTGAGGCTTGCTTTTTAAAACAGAGGGCCATGGTAAAGACCATTCCAAGAAGAGACAACTACATGTGCAAACGAACTGAGTTAGAGAGCATTTGGCATTTTAAAAGAAACTTTATAAAGAGGCATTGTGGGGGCGCCTGGGTGGCTCAGTTGTTAAGCGTCTGCCTTCGGCTCAGGTCATGATCCCAGGGTCCTGGGATCGAGTCCCGCATCGGGCTCC